CAGAGCCATGGGGTCCAACTGTGGCTTCTTGAGGAGGGAGCACACCAGGGCCTCTTTAAAAGACAGAATGGCTTTTTTGTCTCCCACACCTATAGGATCTGAAGGCCTGGTGTTTTAACCTTGGTCCAGAGAAGGCCTGTTCCGCAAAGACCAGGTACTTTAATATTGGCTCATAGAAGGGCTCAGGTAAAACTATGCTTTAAATTGCTTCATAGAATTCATCACCCCTTTATGGATTACTGCCTTGTCGTGGCGAAGGGGCTTGCGTAACTCAATGAAGCTATAAGCTATGCCGTGCAGGGCCACCCAAGATGGACAGGTTATAGCAGAGAGTTCTGACAAAATGTGATCCACTGGAGAAGGAAATGGCAAACCACTCCAGTGTCTTTGCCATGAAAACCCCATGGACAGTACTAAAAGGCAAAAAGATATGACGCTGGAAGATGAGCCCCTCAGGTCGGAAGGTGTCCAATATGCTACTGGGGAAGAGCAGAGGGCTAGTACTAGTAGCGCCAGAAAGAATGAAGCGACTGGGCCAAAGCCGAAAGGACGCTCAGCTGTGGATATATCTGGTGGTGAAAGGAAAGTCCGATGCTGTAAAGATTTTTTCTCCATAGGAACCTGGAATGTAAGATCCATGAATCAAGGCAAGCTAGACGTAGTCAAAAAAGAGATGACAAGACTGAACATCGACATCTTAGGAATCAGCGAACTAAAATGGACAGGAATGGGTGAATTTAACTCAGATGACCATCAGGTATACTACTATGGGCAAGAATCCCTCAGAAGAAATGGAGTAGCCTTCATAGTCAATGAAAGAATAGGAAAAGCAATACTGGGATACAATCCCCAAAATGACAGAATGATCTCAATTCGAATCCAAGGCAAACCATTCAATATCACAATAGTCCAAATCTATGCCCCAACCACTGGTGCTGAAGAGGATGAAATTGACCGGTTCTATGAAGCCCTACAGCACCTTATAGAATTAACACCAAAAAATGATGTCCTTATCATCATGGGGGATTGGAATGCTAAGGTAGGAAGCCAAAAGATAACCGGAATAACAGGCAAGTTTGGCCTTGGAGTACAAAATGAAGCAGGGCACAGGCTAATAGAATTTTGTCAAGAGAATACGATGGTCATAACAAACACTCTTTTCCAACAACCCAAGAGACGGCTCTACACATGGACATCACCAGACGGTCAACATAGAAATCAGATTGACTATGTGCTCTGCAGCCAAAGATGGAGAAGCTGTATACAGTCAGTAAAAACAAGACCAGGAGCTGACTGTGGCTCAGATCATGAGCTTCTCGTTGCAAAATTTAGGCTTAAATTGAAAAAAGTAGGGAAAAGCACTAGGCCACTCAGGTATGAACTAAATCATATTCCTGATGAATATACAGTAGAGGTGACAAATAGATTTAAGGAATTAGATCTGATAGACAGAGTGCCTGAAGAACTATGGATGGAAGTTCGCAACATTGTACAAGAGGTAGCAACTAAAACCATCCCAAAGAAAAAGAAATGCAAGAAAGCAAAATGGCTGTCTGAGGAAGCTTTGCAAATAGCTGAGGAAAGAAGGGAAGCGAAAGGCAAAGGAGAAAGAGAAAGATACACCCAATTGAATGCAGAATTCCAGAGAGTAGCTAGAAGAGATAAGAATGCCTTCTTAAATGAACAGTGCAAAGAAATAGAAGAAAACAACAGAATAGGAAGGACCAGAGATCTCTTCAAGAAAATTGGAGATATGAAGGGAACGTTTCATGCAAAGATGGGCATGATAAAGGACCAAAATGGCAGAGACCTAACAGAGGCAGAAGAGATTAAGAAGAGATGGCAAAACTACACAGAAGAACTATACAAGAATGAGCTTAACATCCCAGATAACCACAATGAGATGGTCACTGACCTCGAACCAGACATCCTAGAATGTGAAGTGAAATGGGCCTTAGAAAATCTGAGCAACAACAAAGCTAGTGGAGGTGACAGTATTCCAGCTGAGCTATTCAAAATCTTAAAAGACGATGCAGTAAAAGTGCTACACTCAATTTGCCAGCAAATTTGGAAAACTCAACAGTGGCCACAGGATTGGAAAAGGTCAGTTTACATTCCAATTCCAAAGAAAGGCAATGCCAAAGAATGTTCAAACTATCGCACCATTGCACTCATTTCACATGCTAGTAAAGTTATGCTTAAAATCCTACAAGCTAGACTCCAGCAGTATGTGGATCGAGAACTACCAGAAGTACAGGCAGGATTTCGAAGAGGCAGAGGAACTAGAGATCAAATTGCCAACATACGCTGGATCATGGAGAAAGCTAGGGAGTTCCAGAAAAACATCTACTTCTGCTTCATTGACTATGCAAAAGCCTTTGATTGTGTGGATCACAACAAATTGTGGCAAGTTCTTAAAGAGATGGGAGTACCAGACCATCTCATTTGTCTTGAGAATTATATGCGGGTCAAGAAGCAACAGTGAGAAACGGACACGGAACCACTGATTGGTTCAAAATTGGAAAAGGAGTCCGGCAAGGCTGTATACTGTCGCCCTGCCTATTTAACTTATATGCAGAGCACATCATGAGAAAGGCAGGGCTAGATGAATCAAAAGTTGGAATTAAGATTGCCGGGAGAAATATCAACAACCTAAGATATGCAGATGATACCACTCTAATGGCAGAAAGTGAAGAGGAACTAAAGAGCCTCTTGATGCGGGTGAAGAAGGAGAGTGCAAAAGTTGGCTTGAAACTCAACATTAAGAAAACCAAAATCATGGCATCCGGCCCTCTCAATTCCTGGCAAATAGATGGGGAAGAAATGGAGGTAGTGACAGATTTTATTTTTCTGGGCTCCAAGATCACCTCAGATGGGGACTGCAGCCAAGAAATTAAAAGACGCTTGCTCCTGGGGAAGGAAAGCTATGGCAAATCTAGACAGCGTACTAAAAAGCAGAGACATCACCCTGCCAACAAAAGTGCGTATAGTCCAGGCCATGGTTTTCCCAGTTGCAATGTATGGCTGTGAAAGTTGGACCATAAGAAAGGCTGAGCGCAAAAGAATTGAGGCCTTTGAACTATGGTGCTGGAGAAGACTCCTGCGAGTCCCTTGGACTGCAAGGCGTTCAAACCGGTCAGTCCTAGAAGAGATCAACCCCGACTGCTCTTTAGAAGGCCAGATCCTGAAGTTGAAACTCAAATATTTTGGCCACCTAATGAGAAGGAAGGACTCACTGGAGAAGGCCTAATGCTGGGAAAGATTGAGGGCAATAGAAGAAGGGGACGACAGAGAATGAGATGGCTGGATGGAGTCACTGAAGCAGTAGGTGTGAACTTAAATGGACTCCAGAAGATGGTAGAGGACAGGAAGACCTGGAGGAACGTTGTCCATGGGGTCGCGATGGGTCGGACACGACTTCGCAATTAACAACAACAACAAGAATTCATCATCATCATCATTATCATATTATTACTATTTTATTATTATTTAAACAGATTCAGCAAGGTAATAACTAAGATCAGGTAAGAGGTAATGTGATACTTAGCTTTCATCCATGGGCATAGATCTGGGCAGGAGTTCAGAGACAAACAAAAGGTCATCCTTAGCATACAAAAAAATTGACCCTTAAGTATTTAAGTGAGCAATTTAGAGATCATTCCAAGTATGCTAAGAACATTGTATAGCATATATGCAACTGCATGCACAATCAGTACACCCACGAAGTAGTAGGTAATCAATGTGTACAGGTGGTCCTCGAGTTACGAGTGTAATGGAGCCTGCCAATTATTCGTAACCTGAGGATTTGTAGGAGTGAATCGCGTAATTTGGCCACGATCACTGTTCGCTTTCGCCAGTGCATTCACTAATTGAATGCGCAGGTCGTTAAGTGCACATCAGATATCTGGGTGGGGAAAGCCGTGGGGGGCCTAGTGCTTTCGGTTGCACAAGGCCTCCCTCGACCCACTGATGTATCTCATGCTTCTCCCTGCCCCCCATCCTGCCTGACCGGGTCACTTATATAGATCTCAATGATCAAGGGAACGGTCTCTTCAGTCTCTCTGCTGCAGTTTCACCTTGAGCAAAGGCTGACAGTGACAAGAGATTGCATCCCTGTAGGCTCCGGTCATCTTTGCAAAAAGCCTTTGCTGCCGAGAACAGAGGCTGGGAGGGGCATGCGCGGCCCTCTACGCCTCCGTTCCCGGCAGCAAAGGCTTTTTGTAAAGATGGCAAAAGGTTCTGCAAACGGACGAAAGTACTGGGGGGTGGGGTAATGTTGCAACCTTGAATGTTGGCTTAGTGACTTGAGGTAACTTGGGGATTATCTGTAGTTGAACCTTGAACTTCTTCATGAGGAAGTTTAAAAAATTCCATGCGCACCTGTTGGGGTGTCCCTTTCTCCTTTTAAGTTGGAGTTTACTGAAATTGTCGGCTTGGGGCGTCCGCTTTGCTCCAATGCAGAGATAAAATGTCTGAATTGCACTTGAGGGGCCCTTGGTGCCCTCTGAGCCTCCTTGTTTTCTTGCAGACATTTCATGACCCTAACTAGGTAACATCATCAGTACTAGTAAGGAGTGGGGTTTGCTATCTGTTTATATTCTGTTTTGCCTGTCAAGTGTTGGGGTGTGTGTGCGTGTGTGTGGGGGGGGTCCTAAGAGATCCTTCGATTGCTGTTGGTTCCTTTGGCAGTTTTTTGCCGTCGCACACGCGTCCCTCCTCCTCCCCCTCCTCCTCCGGGACCCCGAATTCGGCCCGGGGGCTCGGCGCCTCTTGGGCCCATCAGAGGGGGGGGGAAGGGTCCGGCTTGAAAGGAAACGCCGCCTCCACCGGGGAAGCTCGAAGAAAAGCCCCGTCGTCCGATCCGACTCCCGCCAGGCCCCGCCGCCCTCCGGCTTCTCCGCCTCGGCGCCTCCACGCCCGAGCGGCCCGCGGGGGAGCCTCTTCCGGGCCCAGCGGCGGGCGGGATCGGCGGAAGGGGCGGGGCCTCGCGCGGCGGCTTCCGCTGGGGGCCGGGCGGACGCACGTGGGCGTTGCCAGGACGTTGCCAGGGCGACCGCGTCGAGCATCGGCTGGGCTGGAGGATGAGCGCGGCGGCGCCGGCCGAGGTGGAGGAGTCGGTTGCGCGGCGCTACGAGATCAAGCGGCGGCTGGGCAAGGGGGTCAGCGCGGGGAGGGGGGAGGGAGGAAGGGGGAGGGGGGAGGGGAGGGGAGGGGGCCGCCCTCCTCTGCTCACTCCCCTCCCGCGCAGGCCTACGGGATCGTGTGGAAGGCGACGGAGCGCCGGACGGGCGCCAGCGTGGCCGTCAAGAAGATCTTCGACGCCTTCCGCAACCGGACCGACGCCCAGGTGAGGGTCCTCCTCCGGGGGGGGCGGCGGGGGGCGGGCGGGCCTCCCGCCGCGCCCCCCTCCCCCCACACGCGAGCCTTTCCTCCGCTCTTGCCTTGCAGAGGACCTTCCGGGAGATCGCCTTCCTCCAGGTGAGCCCCCGCCCGCGGAGGACCCTCCCCCCCTCTGGGCGGAGCCTCCTCCTCCTCGCATGGGAGACGCTGCCGGCCAGAGAAGCAGCCCGGCGGGCGAGGGTCTCTCTCCGCCCCCCGCTTCCCCCCCCCCCGGCCGGTGGTTCAGGGCGGGTGGCCTGCTTGGTCAGTCGGGAGGGGGTGGGGGGGGAGATGCCGGCCTTCAGCTTCCCCTCCCCTCCGCCCTTGTAAATTGTCCTGGGAAGCTGTTTTTTCCCCTTGAAAGGTTTAAAACGGTGGAAGAAGACAAAGGCCAGTAAGTCTTCCAAGTTCCTGGGCAATCTCCTTAAATAGGTGTTTAGGCCAGCCCTTTTTTTTTATTTGATTTCCATATGATTTCAACAGTTTTGTAACAAATAACAGATGTTATATAAACAGTTGGCTCTTAGGCAACAGTGTATATAAAAATGACTTTTTATAAAAATAAGTTTTTCTTAGAAAGGCTCCAATTAAGGGTTTTTATTTGCATGCTGCAAAAGCCACAGGCTTCCTATTCGTCCCAGCTTGCAATCATAATAATTTATTAAACTTGTGTGCTGCCTGACTCAATGAAATTGGGCCACTCACAACAATCAAATGAAATTACAATAAAATCAATAAAAGATAAAGACAATTAAGGGCAAACGCCGTGAAGTGGGGGTGGGGTCCCTTGCTGAGGGCCTGGGAAAATTCTGCACCACGGGGGGGGGGGCGCATCTGATTCTCAGAGGAACCTCCTTCCAGAGAAGCAGACAAGATGCGCTTCCAGGGCTCTGATACTGGGCACTCTTTAACTGAAGAAACCTGGAGTGCGCCAACCTGCAGGATTAATTTGGGACAGGTGGTTCCCCCAAGTAGCCAGGCCCTGTGCCACATAGGTAATAAGCAGCACCTTGAATTGCATCCAGAAGCAAACCCACAGTATATCTCTCAAAGCAGAAATGTTACATGGGCACGTTGAGACATTATTGTTTATGCCACCACATTTTGGACCAGTTGAAGTTTCTGGCTATCTTCAAGGGCAGCCCCATGTAGAGTGTGCTGCAGTATGCAAGGTGACTAGGGCACGAGTGACACTCTGAACCGCCTCTCCTCTCCCATCTAAAGCCCAACTGGTGCATGAAATGAGTTGTGCAAAGGCCTTCCTGATCACAACTGACACCTGCTCTTCAAGCAGGAACTGTGAATCCAGGAAGACATCCCATACCCCAAGACTGCATATCAACTTAGCTGGGGCAGAAACTTGGTGGTCTGCCTTAGCCAGCCTGGAGTCAAAAGATAAAAGTATAGCCCTAAACCGGGAGGTGACCCCACCCAGTTTCAGGTAGGTGTTGAAAAGGAGGAAGAAAGTAGAATCCTGTGGGGCCCTACACAGCGGATACATAGGGAATGATCTCTCCCCCCCCCCAACCAACACTACCCGGAGCCTGCCCTAGAGAAAGAAAAAAAAAACACCTGCATAACTGTAGCCCTGATCCCCAGCTCAGAAGGATAGGAGCCTAGGCCAGGGCTGGTTTGGTCTTATGTCTTGCAGGAATTTGGAGGGCATCCAAACATCATCCAGCTCCTGAACGTCATCCGGGCTCAGAATGACAAGGACGTTTATCTGGTTTTCGAATCCATGGGTGAGCTCTTCCCAGCTTCCCATGAGAGAAGGAAGAAGGCAGGCAGGCAGGCAGGCAGCACCACAGAAGCCTGTCCAGTTGGATTCAAATCCTAGAAGTTTGCTTGTTTTTAACTATTGATTGCATTTTCATTTACAGTTATTTACATTGTTGTAAATACTTTGAGAGGCTTGTTTTCCTGATAGGTGGGATATAAAATAATTGTAATAAATGAGTAAAATTCTAGGAACTAATCAGTTGCCAGGAATTAATACTGCCTCAAAGCAGTATTAATAAAATAAATAAAAGCAAATTTGTAAATGCCATTTCAAATGAAAGCTTGAATGGAAGATAAACTTGTGGAGGTGACTTGCAACACAAGGGTCTTAGGACGGTTTTAATTGTTCAGCAGTTTACAGAGTTATTGCAGAGTAATGAAAATGTGTTAATAATGGAAGCATATAGAAGAATCTTTTAGCGGGTTAGGGTTTATAATGGGAGATTATGCTCTGCCAGTAGGGAATCCTGAAAATTAAAGCCCAATGTCACATCCCACAATGTTTGTGATATATTCTGCTCAAACAATGCCAGTGATGTGTTTTGGTGTGCATCCACCCTCGGAACAAGGGCTACACATTCATTGCTGCTTTCGTTTTTTAGAGACAGACTTGCATGCAGTGATCAAGAAGGGAAATTTACTGAAAGACATTCATAAGTGCTACATCCTGTACCAGCTCTTGAAAGCCACCAAATATATCCACTCAGGAAATGTTATTCACAGGGACCAAAAGGTATTTATTTTATTTATCAAATTTTAAACCCTCCCTCCAGTTCCTTGACAACTCTAGGCCAGTGGTTCTCAACCTTTCTAATGCTGCGACCCCATAATACAGTTCCCCATGTTGTGGTGACCCCCAACCACTTATACATCACCGGGTGCCAGGGGCGTGGCCAAAGAAAAGGGGGGAAAAATGGTGGACAGCCTTGTTTGGCGACCCCCGTGAAATGGTCGTTCGACCCCAAATGGGGTCTCGACCCACAGGTTGAGAACCGCTGCTTTAGGCACTTACAGATAAAGAGACAAAGGACTTAAAAAGAAAAACAAGACACGGGTGACCAGATGAACAGAACATCAGCCATAAACAGCCATAACTAAAGGAGCTCCAGAACCACACTGTCCCCAAAGCCCTAGAGGACAACCAGGCCTTTAATAATTTCCTAAAAGTCATAATGTGACGGTCGTAATAATCTCTGGGAGATATGGTTCCAGGGGGCAATTGTGTAAGAGTAAGTGGGCTTCCTGGCTACCTCAAGATGATCCTTTTTATATTTAATCAGTGGGACCCAGAGTGTATCTGCCCTGCTTGCCTGATTGTGCTGACAAACAGACAGACAGAGGCCAATGGAGATAAACAGTCCTGCAGACAATCAGGTATTCTGCCAGGAAGGACCTTATGCACCAGGAACAGAAACTATAATTCTGTTGGAAACCATCTGGTTTTCCAGAATAATGGAGTCATGTACCCATAAGGCAGCCTGCGTTTCTGTGCTCTGAACCACCAATAGGCTGAGGCTTCCGGATGAGCAGCCCCACTTAATCGTGAGGTGACCAGGGCAGAAGTGGCTGCCTGAAGGCCAGCTGGGCCAGAAAAGGCCACAATCGATGGCACAGATGTGCTTGTGTCAAGGCCATTTTAGGCACAGCTTCTACCTGTTCTTTGAGGAGCAGCTGAGAGTGCCTAAATTTAATTACAAGTCTTGAATGGGGAAGTGCAGCCCCACTGGGAGTTGATAGTGAAATACTTCCAGGTTGTGGTAGCCTTAGTAGACACAGCCACCTGGCATGATGAACCCTGAGCCTGTTCCCCTCCATCCAGCCCTTGCAGGCACTTGGTTAGATTTTGGCCACATTCCTTGGCAGCCATACACAACTGGGTATCCTCCCCATAGTTTCACTTCTCATCCAAGCCTTTCCAAAGACTTCACCCAAAGGCTTCATGTGTATGTTGAGTGGAAGGGGAGGCAGCATCAAAGCCTGGGCAAAGAATCCGGGGCGTGATCGCTCACCACATGCCCCACGCCGCCGACCGAAGGTAGCCAGGGAGAAATGAGAACAAATGCCATAGAGCAGCCTAGCCTCAGCCCCCACAGCTGATTCAGAAGGATGCCAGGGCCACCGGGATCAAATGCCCTGGAGAGAGCAAGGAGCACCAGGAGGGGTGTCAGATTGTGAACTAGTGTGACCAACGCCATTTCTGTACTAAATCCTGGCTTGAAACCCGATTTGATCTGGATCCTGATAATCTGTTTCCTCCAGAGTCTTCTGAAGCTGAAGCCCAGGTACCCTCTCTCTACCACCTTCCCTGAAATGGGACTTTTGGGAGTGAGGAGGTACCACGGCCTCCTTTAATTATTCCCATCTAGGTGGAAAAGTCTTAATGAAAATAAATGAGGACAAAGTGGGGACTGGATTATCCTAACCATGCCCATCCTTCTTCCAGGCAGGTCATTTACTTCCTCCCCTGGGCTGTATAGTTTATAGTTTAACTATGAGGTCAGTTAAATTGAGAGAAGGTAATCAGCCAGATGGTGTCATGGTGAAGACATCAGGCTAGAAACGGGGGTCTGTGAGTTCTAGTCCTGCCTTTAGCATGAAAGCCATCTGAGTGGGCCGGCCATCCACTCTCAGCCCTAGGAAGGAGGCAATGGCAAACAGCTTCTGAAAAATGTTGCCAAGAAAATTGCAGGGAGTTGTCCAGGTAGTCTGGAGAATCTGACACAGTTGAATGGAATGAAAAACAAAAAACAAAAAAACCCCAGCCCCCTAGGTCTTAGGTTGAGTTCCATGAACCATTTCATGGCTAACTCCTAGCTTCATACAAGAAGGAAGGAAAACTTTGGCCCCAGGGTAATGGGCTCCAGGGGAGTGTGTGTGTGTGTGTGTATGCCTACCAGCAATGGTGATTAGGTGGGGCTATCTATTGCAGGCATGCTCCCCTCTAACATAAGCACCATTATCTGGCATGCACGGTCTCTAGAAAATTCACTTATCACTTGGCAGTTAAACTTTAAAGCAGGCTTTATAAAATAAGATTTTTAAAGCCTCATACTGGACAACAAATTATGATTTTAAGGGAAAAGGCCTGGGCATTCCCTCCCCTCAACACATGTTCTCCACCCTGCACTGAGGCCTTAAAATATATTTCTTTTATTAACTGGAAAGTGTTCTGGAGGAGAAGCTCTCATCTTTGATCACCACTATTCCAAGATAAGAGCGCTTCCTTTTTTTAAACCTGCTGTTAGTAGAATCGGGCATAGCCGGATGCCGATGGGTCGAGTGATTTGATGGCTGTACAAGTCCCTCCCTCACCGTTCCTCTTTTCATCGCCCTCCCCTTCCAGCCTTCCAACGTCTTGCTGGACAGAGACTGCTTTGTGAAGTTGTGCGACTTTGGACTGGCTCGTTCCCTGGGCCAAATCGAAAAAGATGAAGGCAACCCTGCACTTACGGAGTACGTTGCTACTCGCTGGTACCGAGCCCCTGAGATCCTGCTTGCATCAAAATGGTAAGGAGTGGACTCCACGTGAGCCGTAGGAGGCGGGAGGGTGGCTTTCTCCGGCTTTACTTTTACTTCCCAGGGACGTAATATAGCAACACCCAAAGTCCCAAACTTTTTTGAGAGCTTAAGGGGGACTAAGCAAGCTAGAGCTGCAGAGTGAAGTTGTAGTTCAGGTTTCCTAACCAGACGCTTGTTAGATTATGACAGAAGAGAACTATACTCAGAGACTGTGGCTTCCTGGATTGACCATAGTTTGAAATTTGTACAAACCTTGAACCAATTTGAGGGTGTGGTTTAGAAATTAGAGAAGCAAACCACACAGCAATTCTCCCCATTTTGAACCAGGAACAACCTGGTGGCTTCTTTGGTTCAAAATATCCAGTTAGAGAGGAATTTGTGGATCCACGTGTCGCATCTGAAAAAGCTTCCAAAAAATGGGCACAGCTTCCCAGTGAGCTGTGAACGTGTTTCTTTCAAAGCTCCTGCCACTTCTGGGTTTGTAGCTGCTGGAGGTTCTTTTAGTTTTTTCAGTTTTTCCATAATTAAAGGATAACTCAGGAGCCAATAAATGAGAATTGGCAAAACACCTTTGGCCACCTCTTAATGGCTGCACTCCTTTTTTTTGAAAAAAAAAAATTTTTTTTTTACCCCTTCTTCTCCTATAGTTGCAAAGATACAAGCTGTAAAGTGATACAATTTCTTGGGTTGCTTTGTAAAGAGTGAGGAGATGACTGGAGCCATAGTTTTCCCTTCCCCTTTATTACGGGTTCATTTCTGAGGAAACTATCTTGGCCTGGGTCAAATGTTCCTTTTTGTGACCTAGGCAGTTTATATGTGTGCATGCGCACGTGCCTTCTTTCTGTTTTTTCCTCAGTGGGGCAGCAGATAGTTTCCCCCCCCCGCCCCCACCCCTTCCTTTTTGCAATAGCTTCCCACTCTTAAGCAAGACCAGCCATGGCAGAACGTCCGTTTTCTGCTTTTGACACGCCTGTCTTCTCCCCCCTTCTTCACCCTCTACATTCTTTCCCTCACGCCCCCCCCCCAAAAAAATTGCCGCCAATCTTATCAGTGGGAAAATTTTAAACAGCAATCTTTCTGAGAGGAACACATGCCCCCAAATCCAAGAGGGAGTGAATGAAAGTAAGAGAAATCACAAATAACAACGGACCCATTTCCGTGACCCAAAGCACAGCTGGCTCTAGAACGACACAGAACTGGTTCCCCAGTGCTGGGTGAACGTCTATCTGTGGCTGGCAGCCATGCTTGGCGGCTGCTCCTGGCCCTGTCTGGAGCAGGCGGGGGGGGGAGAGGGTAGCGCAGCCTTCGGTGGTTGTGCAGCCTGTGCCGGAGGACCCCTAGGAGGCTGTCTTGCTCTCAGTTGCCCAGTCCTTCCTCATTGTGGACTTTGTCCCCCGCTCCGTTTCTCCTATGCCCTTTTCTAGTTTGCTTCCCAAATGGACCAGTCTGCCTCTCTCAAAAGGTCCCTGGGACAGAACCCTCAAAGCTCCTCCCACTGTCACCTGTGGGCGGTGTATTAAAAGGTGGCATCCACACCTGTTGCACATGGGGAATCCTAATCTTGGCCGTGCCTGAATGGTCTTGTGGGCCTTGCCTGTCCATCCGCTGCCGTATGTGCTGCCCACTGAGACGGCTTCCGATCAGTCTCAGCAAGTGTCCGTGGAGATTCTCAGTCACCCAGGTCATGAAGCTGGGGGTGGGTGGGTAAGTAGGTTACACAATAGGATTAAAGTAAGATAATAGATAGGATAACTTATGAGAGAGATGTTGCTTGGACATTTCCCCGGTACTGTATCCGAAGAGGGATGAGAGTGGAGGAGAAAGGTTAGGGAGGAAGTAGGATGGTGAGAGGCGAGGGGGAGGGGAGAGAGAGGAGGGAAGTAAGGGAGAGTGTTAGAGAGGGCGGATGCAGTTGGGGGGTGGGGGGTGGGCAAGCAAAACCTATGGTTATGTGTAATTTATTTTGTGAAATGTGAAATTTTTTTCTTTTTTGTTTATGTAATTGATAAATGAAAAATAAAAATTTTTAATGAGAAAAAAAAGAGAAGTGAAATGTTTCCAAGGACAAAACCTAAGAAACTCCAATTACCTTTTGGAAAAGCACCTTTGGGATATTTCAGCAAGATATCCAACTCTGGACTGGGGGAGGGGAGGGGGTGCTCCTCTCTGGGCCAGGGCCGGGAGCTCTCTCTCTCTCTCGGCACCCAGAAACCCGCCAGTGAGATGGCCTCACACAAAGGGAGCGAAGGCAGGGGCTGCCTGGCGCAGGGGGCCGTGCAGTACGGGCGCCCAGTGCCTGGGGAGGGAAGGCCTGCCACGCCCTGGAGCGTGATGGGGCAGGGCCTCTCTGGCAAGCCCAGTCTTCTCCCCGAGGAGCCATCAACAGCCAGAGTCAGAGGCTGGGAGTGGCTGCGATCAGCAGTGACAGCAACACTGGGTGATGGATTGATTTGGGTCGGATCTCTGGGTGTCGGCATCCTGTCTGTGGTACCAGAACTGTAGGAAAGCTCTCCCTTGACCCCAGTTTGCAGGTAATACAGCCAACAACTGAAGATGTTTCAAACTGAGCAATCTGTAGGTACAGGGTGTTACATGCAAAAGCACCGTTTTATCACATATGTCATTTTCCTAATTTCCTTATTAGGAGCAGTGATTGATTTACGATAAAAGCACCTTTTCCTTGATCATAAGTAATTGTTCCTAATTTGCTTCTTTCCCTGGGAATTGTACACAGCAGCAGTTTAAACAAACGCTACTGGTTCCTAATTCTTGTGTAGCCTATGCTTCCCACCCTCTATTCTCTTTGCTGCCAGCACTTTGTTTTGAACAACTTACCTGCTGTTTTGACAGCTTCTAGCTTACTCTACTGGGACTCAAGACACGCCCACTAATGTTTGCTGATTTGGGATCCCACCACGTATATAACACTACGCCTCTCGAGGAAAATGTAGACAGAAGATTTTCTCCTCCTCTCATAATGTGGGAACCTGGGCCAAGCCATTAAAATTAAAAGCAAGGCTATGAGGACCGATAAAAGAAAGTTGTGGATTCTAGAATTTTCTGCCATTGGGTGCGGAGATGAGCACCAATTCAAGAGTTTTAGAAAAAGAGTGGACAGGCTCATAGAGTATTCATATCCTTGAAGACTGAAAAAACAGGCATGCCGCCACAAGACAGGCATTGCCTAGCTTGGCAGTAACGGCTGTTGGAAGGAGCCCTGAGCGTTCTGGCAGGCCACGGATTAAACGCGGGCCTGTGGGGTGCTGAAGCTGCCGTTGAAGGAGTCAGTGCGGCCTTGGGCTGCATCAACGGAGATGCAGTGTGGAGATCCTGGGAAGTGGCATTTCTACTCTCAGCTCCGCTAATCAGACTGGCCTGGAACACTGGCCCAGCACAAGAAGGAGGCTGAAGAACTAGAAAGAAAGTGGAGAAGAGTGACAAAGGTGGTGAGGGGCCTGGAGGCTCAATCTGTCGTGAAAGTTAGGGGAACAGGGCACTCGCAGCCCAAGGAAGAGAGGGCCGGGGTGAGATACGGCAGCATCCTTTCGAGGCCTGTGGCAGGGAAGAGGTGTGTAGGGCAGGACAAGGAAGAGCAGGAGTTTCCTGACCCAAAGGGCCCTTCAGCAGTGGGGCAGGCTGCCTCCTGGAATGAAGGCAGCTCCGTTGCTGGAGGTTTTCAAGCAAGGATTGGCAGCCACTTGACTGGAATAGTCTGAGGACTCCTGCCTTCAGCAGGGGGTTGGGCTACAGGACTTCTAACTATATGTTAGTTTACTACTCCCTGATCACAGCAATAACTGCTGGGCAGTTATAGTTGAAACTGGAGGCCAGTCTTTTGCGTACACGTTTATTAAACATTTTAAATTGTCTAATAGCAAAAGCTCTCTGTGCAATTTACTGAAATGGTTCTCCCAGTGGCCACTAGGAAGAAATGGAAGAAGTCCCTTCCCTTCTGCCAAAGCACCTTAAAGGTTGCCTGGCCACTTCCTTCCAGGACATGGCCACCGGAGGAAGCACCCCTCCGTGGGAAGAGCCAGGGAGACAGGCAGGCAGAGGCTGGCGGAGAGGGTGAAAGGAAAAGGAGGGGAGCTGTGCAGCGACACCTCAATTTAACGGATGACTCGCAGGCAGGAGCCCCTCTTCTTTTCTTCCAAATGGTCAAATTGGTATACAGGAGAGACTGTGGGAGCTGCATAAGCCTCCAGCCAAACCAAGTGGCAGGAGCATTTTGGGAACGGGGAAGCAAATTGGGTAACTGTATAATTTTGGAATGATGGCAGCAAGATACTAAAGCGTATCCTTAAAATCAGCACAGAGAAATTATGCCATTTGTGACCAAAAGACCCCCCTTTTCTCCACAGCCACTGCGTGATGCAATTTTTTGGACTACATGGGCCTTGGCCACCTTCAGCCTCTGTATTCCTTTATATAACAGTCACGTTGCGAGTGTCAAAACGTTTATTTGTGCCCTTAATGAATGGCATGGCTGGCATTGGAACTTGATTGCAGTGCCAAAACCAGAGCCATTTCCAACAGCTGAAGCCGTTTCCCCAGGTTAATCAGATTTGGTGAACTCTTCTGCTACTTTTTCAGAGCAAAACCGGCCCCTCTTCCCATGCTCGGCACCAGGTGCATTGGCCTCTTTGCGCTTTCCACACCGGGGGGGGGGGGACGGGATCTTTGATTCCAGCTGCCTTTTCTTCTTTCCCTGCAGTTACACCAAGGGGGTGGACATGTGGAGCATCGGCTGCATCTTGGGGGAGATGCTCCTGGGGAAGCCTCTGTTCCCAGGGACATCGACCGTCAATCAGATAGAGCAGATCCTGCATGTTATTCCTCCCCCCAGCGCAGGAGGTAAGAAAGGCGCTCTCTCTCTCTCTCTCTCTCTCTCTCTCTCTCTCTCTCTCTCTCTCTCTCTCTCTCTCTCTCTTTTTCTGTCTTTCTGTCTCTCTCTCTCTCTCTCTCTTTTTCTGTCTCTTTCTCTGTCTGTCTCTGTCTCTCTCTCTCTGTGTCTCTCTTTCTTTTTCTGTCTTTGTGTGTGTGTGTCTCTCTCTTTCTGTCTCTTTCTGTCTCTCTCTCTGTCTCTCTCTTTTTCTGTCTCTTTCTCTGTCTGTCTCTGTCTCTCTCTGTGTGTGTCTCTCTCTCTCTTTTTCTGTCTTTGTGTGTGTGTGTGTGTCTCTCTCTCTTTCTGTCTCTGTCTCTGTCTCTCTCTCTTTTTCTGTCTCTTTCTGTCTGTCTCTGTCTCTCTCTCTCTCTGTCTCTTTCTGTCTGTCTGTCTCTCTCTCTTTTTCTGTCTCTTTCTCTGTCTCTGTCTCTCTCTCTTTCTGTCTCTGTCTCTCTCTGTCTCTCTCTCTCTGTCTTTGTCTCTCTCTGTGTCTCTCTCTCTCTCTCTCTCTCTTTCTCTCTGCCTCTGTTCCTCAGTCTCTCTCTGTCTCTCTCTCTTTCTGTCTCTCTCTTTCTGTCTCTCTCTCTCTTTTTCTGTCTCTGTCTCTCTCTCTTTCTGTCTCTGTCTCTCTGTCTCTGTCTCTGTCTCTCTCTTTTTCTCTCTCTCTCTCTCTTTTTCTCTCTTTTTCTGTCTCTGTCTCTCTCTCTCTTTTTCTGTCTCTGTCTCTCTCTCTCTCTTTTTCTGTCTCTCTTTCTGTCTCTGTCTCTCTCTCTTTTTCTGTCTCTTTCGCTGTCTCTCTCTCTCTCTGTCTCTGTCTCTGCCTCTCTCTGTTCCTCTGTCTCTCTGTCTCTTCCTAGATCCAATGGGACAGGCAGGTGGAGCCATTCACAGCTCCCTTCTTGCTGTAAAAAGCTGGTGTGTTGTTGCGTCGCCATCCCTTTGTTCCTTCCTTTGCCGAAGGGAGACTGAGGGCTCCTGCCAGAATCTTACCCGTTTATGCCCTGATACGCCTTGTGGATCCCAAAGATTTTCTGTTGTTCCTCCTGCTGAGCCCAACTGGTGCGCAGGCAGGCAGGCAGGGAGCTTCTAAGAGTTTCACAAGCAGAGAGGGAAGTCCTGGGATGTGGGATTGATTTATTGAAGCTGGTGTTTCTGAAGAGCTTCCCATAACACCCGTCCCCCCCAGCTTGGCCCTGGGCTCCGGTCCCCCTAATAAGATGTCTATCTTCGTCCTCAACCAAGCTTCAGAAAGGAGGCCGAGGCTCCCTGGGATGGCCCACAGAGACACCTTGCCCCTCCCCTTTCTGGCTGTCGTAGGTGTCGGCCTTCTGGATGGTTTGGGAGCTGATCCCCATCTCAGCGTGGAAGGGTACCAGAGCATTGGGAAGGAACTCGGGTGTCATCTGGTTCAGGCCCCTGCTAAGGTTGGAATTTGTGGAGACGTTGAGGGAGCTGAGGGCGTCCATGGAGATCAGCCACCCAAACCTCTTGTGATCCCCTGGGTTTAGGGGAGCAGGAGGGTAAACGTCCACGAAACAAATCACCACCCATTGGCCAAACCACCAGATTCAGACTAGAGCACCACCGAGTGTCCCCTTTCTCCCCCCAACCGCAGAGACAGCGTGGACCAGCCTCACTTTGAAAAGGCTCCCGTGTCTGTGTCCCCAAGCTTAAGTGCAAAATAAGCCTCCTTTCTGGGTCTGGAGGTCATGAGACGACCCGGATCTGATAAGGCAGAAAGAATCTAGCCCAGGTGGCTTGGATGGGGAGGGGTGCAAGGAGCTCATCTGAGCGCAGTCCAAACCCAGAAGTGGAAGTGAAGAGGGGCCGTATAAAAATGGCCCCTGGGTCATCCCCTGGGTTCATAGCTTATTCGACCCAGTTTTCTAGGTTTCAGCTCTCTTCTGCACAGCCGACCCAACCAGCGGGACTAGCTTGCGGCTCGGTGTAGGAAAGGGTCAGGGAGACCGAGAGCAAGTGTGGCCGGTCTCCTTTAGCAGCCCTGGCGGAGCCGGTGGGAGAGGAAAGGGGAGGGACCAGTCGCCTCCTGAAGAATCCAATTAGTTTGGGCCCCTTCCTGACACGCCCTCCCGCTGTCCCTCTCTTGTAAGCCCTCCCTCTTAAGTCCCCAGCTGTGCCCGGCTCCGGCCTCTCGCCAGGGAGTTGACCTCTAGGGCCTTCCTAACCCCAAGGACTCCAGGGCTTTCAGGTCAGAACAAAAGGCGAACTACTGCCCCTGTCCGTTCAAGGTACCCACTGGAGGACGAGAAGACAAAAGAAGTCTGCAGGGAAGTTTATTTGTACTTCCTGGGTTTAGGTGCCACCTAAACCCCAAATTGCCCAGGCCCTGCTGGAAAAAACCGAAAAGGCTCTCCTCAGTGGTCCCTGAGGGGATCTTCTGATCCGTTGCTTTGCTTTGCAGATATAGAGGCCTTCCATTCTGACTACCAAGCCTCCGTTATCAACCGTGTGAGCTGCCAGTAAGTGTTTTCTTTTGCTGAATGGATCGCAGTTCCCGAGGAGGCACCTCTTCCACCTCAGGGTGAGAGGAGGGCTGGGAGCTCTCTGTGGAGTGGAACCGCAGCGTGCTTTCTGTCCCGGCTGCAGGCCCCAGCTGACTCTGGAGGAGCTCTTGCCTGCCTCCACCCCTCCCCAGGCCCTGGACCTTCTGAAGCGGCTCTTGGTGTTCAACCCCGAGAAGCGGCTGACGGCAGAGGAGGCCCTGGAGCACCCTTATGTGCAAAGGTGAGAGCCCCCTGGGGCTTCGCTACCGCTGTCTGATGTCTCTCAGACGGGCAAAGCCGTGTTCCGGCCTCCCTCGGCCAGCCTTGTGCTCACCTGGCCTTCTCCCGGCAGGTTCCACTGTGCTGCCAAAGAGCCTGCTCTCAACCACAGTGTGACCCTTCCTCTTGCTGATGACGTGCAGCTCTCGGTGGCCGAGTATCGCAATCAGGTTTATGAGGTAACCCCGCTGCCCCCGGTCCAGAGGAACCCTGAGGGGTCCTTCAGCTCTGCTCTGGCCCAGAGAGCTGAAGGAAGACGCCTGTCCCGAAGGGGTAGGAACTTTTGGGAGAGAGTGACTGTGACGCACTCGGGTTTGCCTTAATGGAGGCAAGCATGACTGAACAAAGTCGGGCTACTTTTCTAGAGTTTAAGAGCTGACTTCAACAAACTAAGAAAGAGAGTCCATGGATGGAAATCCTGAGGGGAAAACAGTTCAGGATGCTTAGGAAACCAAAAACGAGGTAACAAAGGACCAAATAAAATACCACAGAGAAAGAAATTGTGAGCAGCTCGGTTGCACAAAGGGCTCTCTTGCCAGTGGAGGATAGGCTTAAGATACAGAAGGATCTGGACAGACTTGAACATTGGGCACTGTCTAACCGAATAAAATTCAATGGTGAGAAAAGTAAGGTTCTACATTTATGCAAGAAAAACCAAATGCACAGGTACAGTATGGGTGGTACCTGGCTCAATAGTAGTAACTGTGAGAGGGATCTTGGAGTCCTAGTGGACAATCACTTAAATATGAGCCATCCATGTGCTACAGCTGCCAAAAAAAGCCAACACAGTGTTAGGCTGCATTAATAGAGGGATAGAATCAAGATCACATGAAGTGTTAATACCATTTTACAATGCCTTGGTAAGGCCACACTTGGAATACGGCATCCAGTTTTGGTCACCGCGATGTAAAAAAGATGCTGAGACTCTAGAACAGGGCTTTTCAACCGGTGGTACGCGTACCACTGGTGGTACGTGACCACCTGGCTGGTGGTACGCGGCATCGCCTTCCTCCCCCCCGCGTCGCTTTCCTCCCCCCTCTGCTCCTTCCCAGCTCACTTGTTTGTGGAAAATGCTGCTTGGCAGCAGCCTGCACAAACCCTACCGAATGTGCCCTGCAGGGGGGGTGTGAAGAGCGCAGGTGCAGAGCAAGACCCTGCCCTCCCCAGGGACTCATTGTGCAGCAACCGGATTGACTTCTTCTCGTGCATGCAGGTCAGCGGGATCCGTATCGCCCTTCCCCTCCCTCTTCTTACTTCACAACAAGCGCTAGCCTGATAGCCCCTTCTGGGCTGGGAGAAGCGCATGCCGTTGCCTGTATTGCAGGCTTAAAGTCTGAAACAGCCAGGCTCTTGGCTGACTGATTGCCTTTCCCCCCCCCCCCAACTTTTCTACAAACTGGGAATCATGGCTTAGTGGGGGCCTGGAGCGGGTCTCAGAGTGCCCGTGTGCCCCTTGGATCAGACAAGAGAGCAATCGACTGTAGCCTTTGGGGAGCAAAAGCCAGTCGGGGCTGATCTCTTCCTGCCCGGGAAGGCTGGAGAAGCCAGGAGAAAGTCAGTTATTAGAGGGGGGGAAAGTTACTTCTTCATTTAAGGCAGTTTTGGAAAAGTTAACTTTTGCTGGAAAGGAAAGCAAGTTTTTTCCCCCTTTTCTTGGATCGCCTTCTTTGCTTGGGCCTCTGTTGCCTGTATCTCAGGCTTAAAGTCTGAAACAGCCAGGCTCTTGGCTGACTGATCGCCTTTCTCTTTTCGGGAGATGCACCTTTGCAGCGGGATTCCCCCTCCGATAATTATCGGAGGTTTGAACGGCAAGCTGCTCCCGGAGCGTAAAAGTAGAGGGCCCAGACGGCGAGAGTGACGCAGCTCTCCGACTCTCTGCTTCAGGGGAAAAAATGCAGGGGGAAAATGACTGGGAGAAGTAGCCGGTTCGTAACATGGAGGTGAACCGGCCACATCCCCGCCCTGCCTGTTTGCTCTCCTCTGTGTGCGCACAGGCAGGGCCATGATGTGTTGCTGCCTGCCAAAACCAGGCTGGGGTCTGGGAGGCATAGCACAGGAGGAAGGGAGGAAGTAAGGGACAATGGGAGCTGCAGCACTGCAGCCTTCCAGTCCCATGAGCGTCCTTCGGCTGTGCTCCAGGCCTCGCATTTATCAGCTGTTCGGCAGCCGAGAAACAGCCTTTCAGCTTCAGGCCGCTCCGTGGGCCCTAGACTCTCTGCTTTGGCCTCCCACCCATCAGCTGTTCGGTGGCTAAGAGTAGGAGCCGCTCAGCTGTTGGTCTTCTTTGCCGCCTGCACTCATCCTCAACCCCTCCCCCCTGCCAGTTCATGTCGAGCCTGCGGGGGCTTGACAGGGAGAGAGGGAGGGAAGGAGGAAGGGACAAAAGGGGAGGTGAAGGAAAGAAGGAAGGAAGAGACAATGGGAGAGAAGGAGGGATAAAGAGGGAGGTGAAGGAAAGGAAAGAAAGAAGGAAGGGACAATGGGCGAGAGGGAAGGAGGAAGGGACAAAGGGGGAGGTGAAGGAAAGAAGGAAGGAAGGGACAATGGGAAAGGGAGGGAAGGAGGAAGGGACAAAGGGAGGAGAAGGAAGGAAGGGACAATGGGAAAGGGAGGGAAGGAGGAAGAGACAAAGGGAGGGGAAGGAAAAGAAAGAAGGAAGGAAGGGACAAAGGGAGGGGAAGGAAAGAAGGAAGGGACAATGGGAGGGAAGGAAGGCAGGCACTCACCCCAGTGCATCCCCCTCCACCAGAGACCCACGGATTCCCCCCCACAGGCACCCTGCAACCTGAGTGATCAGTTGGCCACGCCCCCCCACGGTTGATCACATGACCCTGGGACACTGTGAAGGTGATAAGTATGAATCAGTTGCCAAGCAATCCACATGTAAATCCCAAGACCCTGGGGATGCAGCAATGGTCATAAGTGTGAAAAATGGTCATAATTCGCTTGTAACTTCAAACAGTCACAAAGTGAATTGTTGTAAGTTGAGGACTACCTGTACTTTCTCATTTTTTCCTTTTTTTGGGGGGGGGGTCAAGTTTTTGATACCCTACTGGGCGAGTGTTGGTACTCGGATATTGCCTTATCCGAAAAGTGATACAATGGGTGAAAAGGTTGAAAAGCCCTGCTCTAGAAAGAGTGCAGAGAAGAGCAACAAAGATGATTAGGGGACTGGAGGCTAAAACATATAAGGAACGGTTGCTAGAATTGGGTATGTCTAGTTTAACGAAGAGAAGGATGATGGGTGACATGATAGCAGTGTTCCAATATCTCAGGGGCTGCCATAAAGAAGAGGGAGTCAAGCTATTCTCCAAAGCACCTGAAGGCAGGACAAGAAGCAATGGATGGAAACTAATCAGAGAGAGAAGTAACCTAGAACTAAGGAGAAATTTGGAATAACCTGCCTCCAGAAGTTGTGAATGCTCCAGTACTGGAAGTTTTTAAGAAGAGACTGGGCAACCATTTGTCTGAAATGTTATAAGGTCCCTTCCAACTCTATTATTATTGCTATAATAAAAAGGGCAAGTATAATAGATGGAAAGAGGGGCTTGTAACTAGAGCAGAATTCCAGCAAATAATAGTTTGAGTGTGCAAGGACAGTCTGGAAGGCTTAGAGTAAAATTTTCAACAAATGCCAAAGTAAAAACAAAGTTTCTTATAAATAAACCTATAAAGGTGTCAGAATCCAATTATATTTCATCTTTAAATTATCAAATATAAAAACTCCCAATTCTGCCTTCTCTGGATTCTGCCATAAGAGGGAGAGAAGGGGGAGAACAAAGGGGCTTTATGGCCCTCACTTCCTTCTTTACACTTCAAAGAGCTAAATGCTGAATGTGTGTTTATTGTAACCTCGAAGTGTTAGCATACCAAAGGAGAGTAATTAGTAATAGTAGTAAAGTTGGAAGGGACCTTGGAGGTCATCTAGTCCAACCCCCTGCTCGGGCAGGAAACCCTACACCATTTCGGACAAATGGCTGTCCAGTCTCTTCTTAAAAACTTCCAGTGTTGGAGCATTTACTGCTTCTGGAGGAAAGCTGTTCCACTGATTAATTGTTCTCACTGTCAGGAAGTTTCTCCTTAGTTCTAGGTTTCTTCTCTCCTTGATGAGTTTCCACCCGTTGCTTCTTTTCCTGCCTTCAGGTGCTTTGGAAAATAGCTTAATTCCCTCTTCTTTATGGCAGCCCCTGAGATATTGGAATACTGCTATCATGTCCCCCCTTGTCCTTCTCTTCATTAAACTAGACATACCCAATTCTCGCAAACGTTCCTTATATGTTTTAGCCTCCAGTCCCCTAATCATCTTTGTTGCTCTTCTCTGTACTACATTTCTAGAGTCTCAACATCTTTTTTTACATCGTGGGGACGCAAACGGGGATGCAGTATTTCTAATTGCCTTTCAGTATTATCTGAAGTCCCCATGCAGACGGAAGAAAGAAGAACGGGGGTGGAATTGTGATACTTGAAACTATCACTGGACGGGGGGTTGATTGGGTGGGACTACTGGGGAACCCCTTAAAACCTTGAATGGAAGAGCTTGAACCCCAAGTCCTGTCTATCATGCCTGCAACCATTTTCTCTTAATAAAGGATTCCTGTTGGAAGAATTATTCCAAGAGTTCTGTCTTCTTAAGATGCAAAGTGGGGTGGGTCCTCACATTAGACAGGACTTGCAAAATTAATCCACCTGGAAGGAAGACCCTTGCCAGGGGATTTTGCAAAAATTTACCATGTCAGACAACGAAGCAAGAGAGGGAGAAAACTCCCTGGAAAGAGAGCCGCTGACCCAGTTGGAACCTTGCCAGATGTTGGGATCCGAGAGGCCAGATTTCTCAGAAGAAGAAGTGGTGGAGACACAGGACCACAAGCCTCACTGGTCGATGGGCGGTGGAAAGAAAAGCGAGTGGGGAAAGGAATCAAGAAAAGTGACCCTGAGACGGGGGACCAAGCAACCAGAATGGAAGCAGGAGATGGAGAAATCCCTGCACGCAAGTGAAGAGGGAGGAAGCTGGGCACCGTACTCAGACTGGATCCTCGAGAAAGCTATTGACCTGATGAAGAGAACTCTCAGCTCCCTAGGAGAGGAGAATACTGAACCCTACGGCCGCCCCAGTTCCTGGAGCCGCAAAGGGAGAGACACCGAGGGGGACATGTAACCTGCAACCCCAGGGACATCTACTGATCCAGGAGCTCCCACCCCCTACCGGACCACAGATGGCAATCTGGACGGAAGGCACTACCACCCACAACAGAGGCACCGATCCAGTCCAAGACGTCCACCATTGGAAGTGAAATTCAAAGGGGAGCCAACACGCTTGGGGTTTTTTCTAACCCAAGTC